TCGTATGGGGGTCAAAAATGTCTATTACCTTCGCCCTTCTTCCCCTTTATCTAGTTAATTTCAAAATGCAAAAAAAATCCATGGGCGCCAGGTAATTTTTAACTGGGATTACCAAACCGGAGGAATCCACAAAATCAACTGTACTAAGTCGAAAAACTAAAACGTACAAAAAAAAGGAGGAAACTAGATTTTTGGGGAAAGGTAACGGTCCCTGGTTCGCTCAGTGTGCTAGGTTGTGGAGAGAGGGATGGATTTCAGGTGGAGACGGGTATTGGGTGGTCAAAACTACAAAAAAAAGAGAAGAAATTGGCATTGTCCTTACTGGTTTCACTATTGAAATTAGTCAAAATTAAGAATTTACATTGGTACATAGTGAATTTACCACAAAAAAAAAGAAAAGATTGATAATAATAAGCAGCAATTTTCTAACGAACGCAATATAATGAATTGACTCGAACTAGCTGATTCTGACTGTAATATACATTATTGATTAATTCGACTTCAAAATGAGGTCATAAATTCCTCAAGGATAATATAATAGTATTTACTAATCCCGAAATACTCGAGAATTCCGAGAACTGGGGGGGAAAGGTTTCTCAGACGGATTCCCCGTCAGAGTGAGAGAGCGAGGCAATAAACCCACCCGTGCACGTATAACGTACGGCGGGAGGAAGCAAAAATTTCCTAAAACTAAACTCGCCGTAGCGAAAAATCGGCAGAGTAAAATCCGAAAAACCCAGAGCCCCCGTGCTCGGGAAAGTCTAGAGAAGCCAATGAANAAAACGTAACCAATTAACCCCTGAAAATCCAACGAAATTGGAGCGCCGGCATTTCAGCCGGACCTCTTCGATTACCCGCAAGATTAACAATAGGGTGAACCCCATAAAAAGAACCGGATGACTATAATTTTGGCCCTTCTTCACGATAATTTTTCTGGGCCCTCAAAGACGCGTAATTACTAATCTTTACTAATGAACGGAACCGATAACTCTAACCGAAAATAAGCCACTCGGAAGTGGATAAAGGACTCTCACTCTCTCGCTCCAGGATTCTTACTCACGGATTTTAATTCCACGCTGTAGGAGTCTCGCTGTTTCCAGATCGTTTTTAGTGTTCCTAACGAACATCCCCACATGTTCGTTACAGTTGTTATATAAAAAACAAAACATGCAGTCGAATTAACCCTTCGTCAAACTGACAGATTGAATTCAATTGTGATAATCCGAGGATTTTTATTCGAAATGAGTGTTAATTATACAATTTTCGTTTCTCAATTGTGAGTTTCGTCTCATGATCCAATTATATTGCCCGACATTTGGATTGGAAAAATAATCCCCCGAATACCACACGAGCTTCAAAATTAATCGGGCTTTTTTCTCAAGGTTCCCTGCATACAAACTACGTCGTCAAGTTTTTCCGGAAAAATCACTCGTGCTTCGCACTCGTGATTTTTTAACCTGACAAGCTTGACTCCTTCGTTTGTTTGCAATGAACCTATCGGAAAATACCCGATATTTTTGAAGCTCTTGTGGTATTACAAGTGATAATTTTTGTTAATTCCACTGGGAATTTTCCTCATCTAAATGTCAGCCAATAGAATTGCACTATTCGACTGTTATTTCATATAGTCAACACGGTATTCAGCTGATTTTCGATAATTCAACTGGTAATTTTTCATGTTGACTATATTTGTGGAAAACAAAAGATTCCGTGGTCGAGTGAACCCCTGGTTGGAACTGTCAGATGGATGTTGTCTCATAGTGCAATTCTTTTGGCCGACATTTGGATGGGAAAATTCCGTCCCGAATACTACTCGAGCTTCAAAATTAATCGAGTAATTCCCTCAAGGTTCCCTGCACACAAACGAAGTCGTCATGTTTTTCAGGAAAAATTCCTCGTGCTTCGCACTCGTGATTTTTTAACCTGAAAAACTTGACTCCTTCGTTTGTTTGCAACAAACCTATCAGGAATTGCTCCATAATTTTGAAGCTCTCGTGGTATTACTTGCGGTAATTTCTCAGAAACAGATCCTCTCTCTCTGTTCCTCTTTTTCGTCCGTCAAACCGGCGACGTATGAGTAGAGGCTTCCCAAGAGAAACGTCTTCACCTCCACGATAACGGCCGTGGAACTCTTACTGTTGTTAAACGGCCATAATATAGTCAAGTTAAAGAGGGGCTTCCCGATCACTTAAATTCGTAGATTTCGTACCTCTGAAGCCTAGGGAGTAAGGTGAAGCGTAGGGCGAAAATCTTAGGGAGTATCGACTGTACCACGGATATTGCTGAGCAATAAATAAGAGTTTTTCATCGAATTTATAAAAAAAACTTTTATAGAGGAAAGTTCTTCAAGAAATCTCTTGTCCCTAAGTTACAGAATTACTCGCATTATTATAATTATTATAATTGACGTAAATTACCTCGACGGGTTTTTCATATTTTTTACATTACTTCGAAAAACTTGCAATTTTCGATTACTAGAATGGTTCTAGAAAAATAGTATATTCTGTCCCAAGGACAGATGAACGGCGAATTTTAACTTTACTTTGTTCGGCTAGAACGCGGATTTCAGTACTTCGGTCATAAAATATCATTTTATGTTGACGTGAAAATCCATAAATTTGCTAATTTAAAATAATCACCCCGACCCGGTCTCGAACCCACGATCTTGACATCACTATGGTTAAATCGCTGTTTCCGGGCCCAGAGACATAAAATATTGTACGTCACACGGAGATAAAATAATTTCCTGACTCATGTGATTAAAATCCTCGCCTTAGGCTCGGATTATAAAGCTCCATTTGTCAGAAAATACTTTCATCGTCTGGTGACATAATGTAGTATTAGATCACGTGATACGATTTTCGGTATTTTAAGACACTCAAAAACATAAGCCTCATACCTCACAAAGAGTAAATTTCACGAGGGTCAAACTTTACAAAAGACCAAAGTCACAAGTCATCTCCATTGTGAGAAAGTCAATCTCATTATGTATTGAGCTTTATTGGATTTTACACTTTATTATTTGGAGCTTCGGAAAAGCCCAGTTGGACCTGAAAAAAACTATTTTGTTCTGAAGAGTTCAAAAAAGCTACCAAAGATAATTGAATTAGTTTTGTCATTTAAGAATGCTGAATGAAACAATGTCAAGACAAAAGATGATGACACGACGAATTCAATAGAGATCAATAAATAATGAGATTGATCCTTGTAAAATTCATTCCTTACACGGTATGAGCCTTACGAGGTGTGACCCTCAAGATGAATGATCCTGGCGAGTTATGAACCTCGTGATTCTTATCACCCTTGGGCGGTATAATCTTCGCGAAGGTTCACGGTTTATTACATAAATTACGGGGTTTTTACAATGTCATGTAAAAAACTGTGGTTATCGACAGATGCCCAACCGTGCTGCCGGCCGGCAGTTTTCGATCGGGTCCTCGTACGTCATAACACTCGTTTACGTTTAACTTTTTTATAATGTTTTGTGAGTTAAAATTCGCGGATATATTTTTTTTCATTTTTGTTCGAACTGTTTTCACATAACCAATATACATTTCATATTTTATTTTGAATTTCCACCGAACTTGACTTTATAATAAATCATCACCAACAACTGAAACTTCAAAGTAAGCTGATATTCATCAATTTTTTTATGTACACTGTTTGTTCATTTTTGGTTCTTTTATGTGAATTATTCTATTCAACAGCCATCAACACTGACAGCCTAGAAAAAACTTTGTATCTATTTTTTTTTTAATTTTTAACTTCCCGGGCAGGGAAGTTATTGTAATTTTCTTTGTATTACCACAAAAAATCAACGAAAATCGGTTGGTACCTAATCCTCCGCAACCAAATAAAAGTGGAGGGGGATGTGCCGGCAGGCCAGAATTGGCAACCTCGGCAAGAAAATTCCACTGACGATTGTGGTCGCGCAATGAGTGCGCGGCTCTAAGAAAAACTCACTTTTTTAAATGTTTTTTCTGTATTGCTTCTCACGATTTCTCGTCTGGGAATTGGTATTGCATACTTCCCAAACTCGAAAACTTGGAAATCACTTCAAACGAATCTTGTCCCAGGCTGCTGCGATGGGTTTTTTTTACTTGTGTGATTGGCCAGTCCTCGCCTTCGGCTCGGATGCCAACGCCGCAGGAGTAAAAAACTTCATCACAGCAGCCAGGAAAAATACTATATCAATTGTGGCGCAAAGAAAATGTACTGAGGGACAGCAAATAAGATTGAAAAGAGAATTCCTGGGTTTTCAAAAATTTTCGGATATTATATTTGTTTTTATCTTCATTTTTGTTCCACGTACGGCGCGGCGGTTAAGAATTATATTGTTGTCTGTGATTATTGAATATCCGAAACAACAAACAACTATTCCTCATTTCATATAAAACGACCATTTGCCGGGAGCAAAATACGCACGGGAGCATCGAATAACGAAGAAGTACTGTTAGAAAGTATATTTCTTGCTTGCACAGAGGATAAATTTTTTTTGGAAAGACTAAATCTATTTTTGCAATAAAAATTTTCGATTTCCACGCACGCTTCGCATGTTTCCATGTACAAACGAATGCGTCAAGTATCGCAGGAAAATTTTTTTAACCTGTGAAGTTTAACATATTCGTTTATATGCAACGAAATTATTGGGAAATACCTGACCATTGTGAGGCTCTCGGGCTATTATAACCGATAATTTTCTCTGATAGTTGCGATATAAAAAACAAAAGATGTTTCACTGGAGTGAACCTCTCGTCGAAACTGGCTGATCGATTCTGTCTCCTGATGCAATTTTGTTGGCCAAAATTTGGATGGAAAAAAGTAATCTCTCGAATACCTCGTGAGCCTCAAAATTAATTAGTAATGAATTGAAGTTTCCTATTGGAATTCCTCCAAGTGAATAACATGATCTTCGATTATTCATGATGAGCCCAATTTTATCAACTCCCCCCCCAAGTAAATCGAATCATCCAAACTAATGCAATTTTCCTTTTTTTCAGGAAGCATAATGCCAAGTAGCATAGTGAGACACTTCGGTCACTGTTGTCTCCTGGCAACCGTAATAATCCTCTTCGAGTATGCATCTGGAGCACTATTCAATGAAAACAGACCAGAGCTGAATCCGTGGACAGACTACGGCATCCTCGGTGCAACTCTCCTCTACTTACTCCGAGCCCTGACATTCCTGTCGTTCCCCCAAGTCCTCTTCAACTTCCTCGGTTTCACCATTTACAACGCATTCCCTGATAAAGTTGTCCTCAAGGGCTCGCCCCTCCTCGCCCCCTTTATCTGTATCCGCGTGGTTACACGTGGAGACTACCCTCAATTAGTGAAGACAAACGTTCGGAGGAATCTGAACAAATGCACAGAGGCAGGACTCGAGAACTTCCAGATCGAAGTTGTGAGTGATAAACCTATTGGTTTATCTCCTCATAGGAGAATAAGGGAGGTTGTTGTCCCCTCGAATTACAGGACGAGCAGTGGGGCACTGTTCAAGGCTCGCGCCCTGCAGTACTGCCTGGAAAACAGTGTGAATGAACTCGCCGATCACGACTGGATTGTTCATTTGGATGAGGAGACGTTATTGACTGAGAATTCAGTCCGGGGGATTCTCAACTTTGTACTCGATGGGAAACACCAGTTTGGACAGGGTCTCATCACCTACGCCAATGAAGATGTGGTGAACTGGATCACGACACTTGCTGATAGCTTCAGGGTTGCCGATGACATGGGGAAACTCAGATTGCAGTTCACCATGTTCCATAAACCACTGTTTAGTATGAAGGGATCATTTGTTGTCACTCAGGTATGTTTTTTGCTTCCGAATGGAAGCCTTGTATTTGCGCGATTTTTCGATTTTCTAATTTTGATGGCAAATGGCCTAGAATGTTATGAAACGTGAAGAAATGATGTTTTTAGGGTCATGTTTGTATGTATGTGTGTAACAACTTGGGTTTTTGGTGATCAATTTTTAGAAAATTCAACATAAATGCGGTGAAATTTGTCAATAAAAGTCTGAAATTCTGGTTCATAGTAGCTATGATTAAGCTTCACTTTGGTGCGTAGTTTCAGCCCGATCGGTCCAGTAGTTCCTGAGATATAACGACTTCTTTAAATTTCGTTTTTCCTCAATATTTCAAAATCTACTCCACCGATTTCAATTTTTTTTTTCAAAATACTCGTCTCGATGGCCTCTATCTAGATTTATCAAAATATATATACCCGTCCAGACAAAATTTGAAGATATTGCCGTTTTTCCGTTTTTTCTTATTGCACGGCGTGCCATAAATGTAAAAAAAGGACAGACATTACAAAACAAGACGAATATTCTTGACTAATTGAAATTAGGATCGGTTGACTCGTTATTGAGATATTTAAAAAATTAGATTTACATATAAAGTTGAATATCTCAGAAAGTAATTATCCGATTGAGCCTATTTTCAATACAAACCATTGTTACTACTAGAGACAACTTCATGCCGAATTTCAAGTTGTATCTCCATTTTTGCGGATACTAGAGTGCGAGAAACGATTTTAGGTCAAAAAGAGAAAAATCGAAATATCTCGAAAACTTTCTATGAACGGGTATACATATTTTGATTGATTGCGATAGAAGGAATCAAGACGAATATTTTGAAAAGAAAAAAAATTAAATCGGTTGGGTAGTTTTCGAGGTATTTCGGAAAAAGCGTAAAGAAACAAATGGCTATTTCTCAAAAACTAATTGACGGATCCAGCTGAATTTTGGCATGAAGTTAGTCCCAAATGATTCCAATAAACTGACAAAATTTCAGATTTTTTGGAATAAATTTTCCCATTTAATCGTTAATTTTAAGAAAAAGTGACCACCGAGTGGACATTATCACCCACAGACATGGTCTCCAAACTTCGTATTTTTCCGTTTCAGACCATTCTGGATCGTTTCCAAGCAAAATTAGCAAAAGTGAAACTCGAACGAATGCAAAGCTTCCATTCGGAAGCAAAAATGGAGATAGCTAGTTGCAATTTTGTATGCTTCTTGGTTGGTATTGCGGATGGGCGCAATCGGTTGCAGGTCTAAATATTACGGAACCATTATATTACGGTAAAAAATATTACGCAAAAATATTACGGGATAAAATATTACACAGAAGATTATTACGAGACAAAAAATTATTGAACCGTAATATTACCGTACATAAAGGTATGGAATCAAGGGCAAACCTTTATCCGCTCGATTAGGAATTCCCCGAAAATCAAATCGATACAATAATAGCTCAGCACTAAAAAATATGACCCGCGGTCAGTTACCATCGATTACTCAACAGATGTATGAGTTAGCACGATTATATTAATCCTCCAAAACAAAATAAAATTCTCTCAAACATTCACACCCAACACCGAAGATTCTTCAACAAAAGTTAGTTATACCGGAATGCTCGAGACGGGTGCCTTGAAATAATTACCATGCCTCTTCATTTCATCCTCAGCCAAAAAGGCGCAAAACTACTATTACACAAAGGTTTTTTATTACGAATTTGTGGAGCAGACAAACATGTTACGCAGGAAGTATGTTGATTATGATCAACGATTGCTCACCCTAGTCCAAATCTGGGATGACAATTGCAATACTTATTATGATTATCTGCGGGGAATTGCTCGTAATGTAAAATGACCAAACTAAGGAGATAAAGAAATGCTATAAATAACGGAAAATAAGATCGACGTCGGTGGCCGAGTGGATTAGACGCAAGTCTAGTGTGCGAAAGGTTGTGAGTTCGATTCCCCGTGGAACTGAATTTTTCAACGGAAGGCTCCGGCGAGCGGGAGGTTGCTAATAGAGGAACCGCCTGTACCAGCATGGGTTTTCTGTGGTTTCCCCATGCTACTTCTATGTTCTATAGAAGTGCGAATGCGGTGCAGTGTAGAATCCACAGCCGCATGCATAGGGTTGGATAGAGTACTGAATGGGACCCGAAAAAGGGACTCCGAGGCCGTAAAAAAAAAAAAAAAAAANTTATGGCGTTATGTTTTTTACCGTAACATTTAGACCGGATACCATTGAAGATTCGTATTTTGGATAGGCGCAATCGGCCGAGCAATTTCGGGGATATTTGCCCTTTTGTATAAATCTAGTTCATCAAAAGGTTGAATATCTTCCTGTAGACACCCTGTAGCATGTGGTTACGATTGTATGCCTGTCACAAGGACAGAAAATTGCTACGGGTCCATTCGGAAGCTACCAATGAAGTTGGTAGAAATGAAAAAAAAGAAAATGACTAATAACGCAAAAACTAACGGTCACATGCCTTGGGTCGGATGGGCTCGAACCCCTGCTTATTTTTATTTGGTTTCAGGAAATTGAGTTGTAAGAAGGGGGATTCAAAGAAGGCGGAATTTAAAATATTTATTTTCATTATTTATAATAAATTTGTTGTCTTTTCGTGACCGCGTTTCGTGAAGAAATTCAACAGATCCGTGTAGACTGAGGCTATAAATTATTGGGCTAAGTTGGATATAACAGGAGGCACCATAGAAAATTCCAGAACATCCTTGACATTTCTAGAAATTTCTGAAAACTTCCAGGATCTTCCAGAAAATGATAGTTTCTTGAAAAAAAAGGATTGCGATTTTTTGTTTTCAAAAATTCCAGAAATCTCTGGGTTTTCTGGGAAACTTGCACACAGAAAAACCTAAACGTAATTGACGCTTAACGTCAATATGATGTTTGGTGGTTTTTTCCCGTCATGAAAATCCGTAATGAAAATTAAAAAATACGTGTTTTACGATCAAAATAAGAACGTAAATTCCGTTTATCAAAGCGTAATTTACGTTGAACAAATCGTAAATTACGGTGTTAATGAACATATTTTACGATTTTCTTACGCATAATTTGCGACGGGAACATCGTGTTTTGCGCTTGAAATAGCTTTTTTCCATATCAGGTCATGATTCACTTCAAATCAATTTTTATCTACAGTATTAGTAACGTACTATAATGAGTTGAATCGATTTCTTTTTACAATGAGATGTCTCGACATATTTTGAAATTAGCGGAAACAGCAAAATTAGTTAGTCAAAGACCTTTTTTCTACCGAGAATGAGAGAGCCTAAGAGTTGTTGATAGTAATAATTTTGAGTTCAAAAGTGTGTGCACGTCAGGGGTTGATAAATTGATAAATGAACATTCAAAACTTGCAGATGGCAGCAGAGCGTCAAGTGTCCTTCGACAACGGTCTCGACGGTTCAGTCGCCGAGGATTGCTTCTTCGCGATGAAGGCCTTCACCATGGGCTACACTTTCAACTTCATAGAAGGAGAGATGTGGGAGAAGAGTCCCTTTACCCTTTGGGATTTTGTTCAACAACGGAAACGCTGGCTCCAGGGAATCCTCCTGGTCGTCCACTCCAAAGTTATTCCCCTGAAGAAGAAGTTACTCCTCGCTATCTCCTGTTACTCCTGGGTGACAATGCCCCTCTCAACATCCAACATCATCCTCGCAGGACTCTGTCCCATATCGTGTCCCCAGTTTATCGATGTTCTATGTGCATTCATCGGTGCAGTGAGTATATACATGTACATATTCGGTGTCATAAAATCATTCTCACTATACCGTTTTGGTATTTCACGTTACATTCTTTGCATTGGTGGTGCACTTGCAACAATTCCCTTCAATTTAATCATTGAAAATATCGCTGTCATCTGGGGAGTATTCGGTAAAAAACACAAATTCTATGTCGTAAGCAAAGAGTTCAAATCACCTGTGACCGTTTAAGTGTTTTCAACTCCCAATGGGAGAGTTTATTATATCACTAGTTATAGGAACGATATGATTCCATTGCACCCCTCGTACCTGTTTTTATTCAGAGTTGAATAGGAATGATGAAAGTGTTGAGTGAAAAGGTGAAGTTGTGGAATGAGATAAGTCAGTCTCATTTAAAAATTTTTTACAAAGATTTCTTGATCTGTTGATTTTTGTGGGAATTTCGTGCAGCTTTTAGTTACTGCAAGAAAAGGCTCAATGGAAATTCGTTTTCAAGTGCAAAGATATTTTTTTCAAAAATAAAATATTGAGGAATTTCGCTTCAAGTTGAGTTTTCGAAGAATATCTTTGAATCTAAAGAAGATGGGATACATTCTATAGAGTAAAGGAAGAGTAAAAGAGAAAGTTTTTATAACAATTGCTCTGTCTCTTTTGGATGTAACGAAAACATTTGAATTGACTTATGTAGTTTGACTACTTCACCGCTAAACTTTGTGGAACATTCTGTACAAATTTTTTAAGGGTTATCGACAATCTCAAATGAGGAATCAAAATAATCATAGAGTACAGTATTTTTTTTTTAGAGTGGAATATTTCCCAGGAATCGTTGCAGTACGTACATAAATGCACTTTGTGTTTTTCTTAAGCTCTTAAGACAACTTCGATATGTATGTCATTTGTTGAGGAGAGATCGTAATTACATTTTTTTAATGGAGAGGAGATGTATGCGAAGAATATACATAAGGAGATGCATGCGAAGAATATACATGATTTAGAATTATTTTCTTCATTCAGAAAACTGTAGATTGGAGATGGTGTAAATTTCAGTGAATTTTTATGAATGGATGAACTGAATTAATGGTTGAAACTTGAGACATATCATGGAGGTGATTTTAGAACACATGATCGATTTTTTTGTAGCGAATGAATTAAGGGAAAAATGAAAGATACGTTCAATACATTCTTAGATATCTCTGTTAGCAAGAGATGTAAAAAACTCACTAGAACACCTTTTGTGGAGAATTTTAGGATCTACAAAAATAATGTCTTCATATTTCTCGCTTGTTTGAAAAATATTTGTAAAATGTCTGTTAATTCTTGGATTTATCTTGTATTTTTCTTTACTCCGCTGCATGATTTTGCTACGATCTCTCCGTAATATCGACAAAGCACAAGATCTGAATTTTTTTTAGTCACAAAAATGTGCACCTTTCTTTTGACATTGATAAGGTGTCTAGTCACACGAATGTAATCTATAACCGAACACTCAAAAAAATTCTCAGTCTTTCATTTGATTATAATGTCTTGAATTTGTGACTGTCTCATGTCATAATATTTCGTAATTGTTTCATCTCAAAACTTCACTTATGGTCCATAATAAGACTTTCAATTATTTTTATTAAGAATATAAAATTTTTTTTCGACTATTTCAGAAGTAGGGAGGATAAATTGAGATTAAACGAGAAATTCTCTGCAGATGAGTTTCTAAATATCAGAGAAACGAAAGGGATTAGAGAAAAACATGAAAAGATTTTTTTGTCATTCCGGTCATAAGGCTCCGCGTCCGTGAATCTCTGCCTACGGCGGTCATGACAAAAAATATTGTTTGTCATAAGGTCGACAAAAAACTTTTCTGACGAATATGATTGCAGCCCTCGCCTTCGACTCGTGCTGCAAACCTCATATCCGCCAGAAAAGTTTGCAGCACGAGTCGAAGGCAAGGGCTGCAATCATATTCGTCAGAAAATTTTTTGTCGGCCTAATGACGAAATATACTATTTTAAAGTTAAGAGAATTTTCTACACCAATATTCAGAGATAATTCAATGATTGACAACGATGTATTTGCAACTGCATTCCAAATGCGAAAATCACTGTTAATTATTCAGTCATCTCAAGAATTAATAATTCTATGGAAAAATGTAGAAAGATCTTTTTGTGGTGCATAAGATTTTCTTGACAGCTGTTTCTTGCCATTTTTCTCTAGACTCACAAGTTTCAATGATTTTAGAAATTATCTGTACAATTTTTTCGACTCATCTCTTTTTACCAATTTGATACTGGTTTACGTCTTCTGAGAAAATTTTTAGAGAAAAAGTCATTTACACAGCTAGAATTATCGATTAGATCTGCTTAATTACGAAGTACTTAAAAAATTAAGTTCTGTTCTAGGAATGCGAATATAGAAAATGTTCTACCAAAGCCTTAGTGTACATATGTTTACTCCAAAATTATGAAAAATGTAATCTCGTTTCAATATCAAAGATACTTGTTGATAGCAATAATTATACATTTAATTGAGAAATTTGTTTATGCTTAATTAATGGAATATCACAAATTATGAGATCTGTCAAGAATATTAGTGTAAATTTGTCGCACAAATTGAAGAAAAAAAATCATTCGCATATGCATAATTGAAAAATGCATAATTTCTTCGATTATCTTTTTCTTCTCAATTTTGTGGAACAAATTGAAAGATTTCTCGTAATCTTTCATAATACTTTTTAATCAATAATCACACTGACGAATCTCTGATTTTATACTCTAAAATGTTTTTTATTGCCTATACATATAAATTACGCTATCAGGGGCAGCCATTAGCTGCCGTAGCAATTTCAAAATATGACAAATAGCCCACGGTTTCATAACTATATCAACATCCATCGGCAAGAGCTGATAAGACTGACCTGGATAACGTAACTTTATTAAATTTTTCATTGCCAGTTCGAGGCCTAATTTTATAGGCTTTTGCGATAATTTTAATGCCTGCGGCAATTCCTTCTTTACTTTTTAAGAATGTTACTGATAAATTTTTATTGACGCAATGTTAATTCTCGAGGCAAGAGTCGTCATTGAATTGTCATTAAAGATCATTGAACAATGTTGATGAATAAAAAATTGTTCCTCATAATACGAGTGACTTTTTATCCCTTACAATAAATTTTAAAAACCACGAGATGTGACTTTCGACAATATTTGTTTTACTTAATTCGTCAATTTCTCGATATTTGCTCCCATCGATTACACGTTTCATCACTTTTTTTAATAATCAAATTTTTTTTATTGAAAAACGAGATTAAATCATCAACCAATTAAATACACCATATCATAAAAGAACAGAAAGATTTCAAGAACCACACATTTCACGTCTAGTTGTTACAAAATAAAGATTATAGCTAATTTAGAAAGATCAGGAGATTATCCCCAGCAATCCATACACTTAATTGCACAAATATCTCTGAGGTCAGTGGATTTGAATAAAATGGTTAACGGTTTTTTTATGGTTCATAAAATTTCCCGTGACAAAGTCTTCCGTAATTTTTTTATGAACCTATTCTTTGCCAAGATATACTCAAAATAATCTTCAATTTTTAACTGACCTCAGTTAATCATCTACTGATAAAATCGTTTGATGTATTTGTTCCATAGAAAATTATTGATCTGGTGGAATGTGACCTTTTTGATCGATAAAAAATGAAAAAATACTCGATTGAGATTGTAAGAGCCTTTTTCATATTCAAATCATTGAATATGATTTGTTCCAACAATGGACGATTCACTCTACAATATAATTCTGTAGTGAAGCGGTAAACTCGGATAAGTGTAATTTTTTTTTTAATTTTCCTTTGCTTGAATCGAATGTTCGCTCAAACATAGTTAAATATTTGTACTCTCCTGAAAAAGTTACATTTTTACACTCATCCTAGTTTACCACCTCGCTGCAGGATTTTCACTATCATTAACACTATAATCACAAAGAAAGAAAACTCATAACTCACAATAAATTGAAAATGTAACAAGTATGAAAAATATATAAATTCCTTACAAACTAATTGACACTATGAGATCAAAAATGTAAAACAGTACGAAATATTTGCACGTAATCACATTCAGTTATGAAATGAGCTCAATTAAGTAAAGAAAATGCGCTCGTCACAATGAGCCTCTTGAATGTCCTTCAAGTAACTTTTCCTCTCATTGAAATTATTTTTCCCATCTGATCGAGGATATACATCGGTTCCATTCATATAAACCTGACTGAATTGAAGAGCATCAGAATCGAAGATTCCCTTGCCAGTGGGTGGAAGACATCTAGTCAGCATCAGATCATTCTTCAAGTTTTTTCTCATTCTCGCCTCCTTGGGACTGTAAAAATATCCAGGATACTTCCTCTTGTGCTCCTCGTCAACCTTCTTGGCAAGTGCATAATAAGAGTCTTTGGTTTCATTGGTCAAACCCTTCCACATGGCCCCGAGTCTCACGGAAATTTCAGTGTTGCTTTCTCTGGGATTTTCGGTTGCCAATCTTCGTCTCCACTCGTTGGCGAAGATCATGAATGCATTTGGAGGTCTCCGAATCTTCTCCGGGCCATTCTCACCGTAAATTACACTCTGTCGTTCTCTGGATTTCACTTTAGTCTTGATTTTTGATTTTTTTGTTTCCTCGTTGGGTGGTCTCGGAACTTTGATTGTCGCTGTTGGGATGGGCTCTGGTTGAATAGGTTCTGGGGAGTTGGGAGTTTCTTCTGGGCCTAGGCAGATCGTCTGGTGACTAGTAAATGTTGTCTCGTTTGCCAGTTCATTCTGAAATGATTAGAACATAAGTGAAAAAAGATGAGTCTAAAAATTTCACTCTTGTTGTTTTGTAAATATCGCAGTGATGGGGAGATTTAGACAAATTTTTCAGATTAAAAAATTTTTTTTATTGTGATTGAAATAATATATTTTTTAAACTTTACTTCATTGCATCAGTGAAAGGAATGTTTTTGAATTAATTTGGAGATTTCAATAATGAATTATTGAACTTTAGATCAGATCAATTTTTGCAACAAATATTTTCAAAAATGATTTATTCATGAAGAGGTAGAAGAATGAATTAATAGGAATGCACAGTTCAATTTCTCATTTAATCCTCCTTCAAGAAGAGAAACATTCTGATCAATAATTTGAGTTGAATAAGAAAGAATGACAAGAATCATGTTCTTCCAAATTGATTTGTGACAAGGTAAATTAATCAAAACCTACAGTGTTTTATCACTCAACAAAAATTATTCTCTTCATTTGATACAGAATTCATGGCATTAGAGTGTTTCTGAAATAATTAGAACAAGAGTAGAATTATTTTCAGATGGATTAGAGCCTGTAATAAACGACAAAAAGGCGAGTTCGAAAATTTCATTCACCGTGTTTTGTAAATATCACAAAAATCGGTTAATTAAGGCAAATTATTGATATTTTTGCGAAGAAAAGTTTTCAAATTGTATTGAATTTATGATTTTTTTCATTTATTCCAGAGTGAATAGAGAGTGGAGAAAGAAATCTGTGGAAAAAATTTTGTTGAATTCATTTCGTAGATTTAAGTGATTACTTAATAAACTTTAGATCAGATAAATTTTTGTTATATACATTTTAGAATATCATTTCACATTCAATCCTTCTTCAAGATGAGAAACATTCTGATCAATAATTTTGAAGAAGTTTCTCTGAATTTCGATAAAGAGTTGAATAAGAAAAAATGACAATAATTATTTTGTAAATCGATTTCGGATAAAGAAAAATAATCCATTTCTACAATATTGCATGTTTTTTGTTAATTTGATGTGTACGGATAAATGCGTTCAATATTGAAGGAATAATAATCCAAGCAGAAATTTATCAAAAAATTACTTTCGCTAATTTCTCCATTTCATTGTAAAATTCTGTACTAACCACCCTATGAGACATTTTTCGACGTTTCTTCGGTCGATTCTTCTCTCTCTCTTCATAACGATCATTATCCTCCAATTTACACTCTGCATTAACTGCACTGGGCTCTGCCGAATCGTTTTTCGAAACAGCAAAATCACACTCGCGTTTCTCTTCTTCTTTCAGCTCCGCTGCTTTCTCATTTCCCCTATCCTTCTTATCCCTCACATTACATAAGCCCTTGACCTGCAGGATCTCAGCAATGCTCAGAAGATCAGTCAATTCACTCTCCTCAACTCTGATTTCTCCATTGTACATGAATTTAATCATAGACTGTAGGTCCTCGTATTTTACTCCATTCAAAATGATGACTGGATGTTTTGACGTGTGATACTCAAATAATTCCTGCAGCAAAAATAAAAATTGAAATGAAAATGATTTTTCTTATGATAAATAAACAAGTGGGAAATTGCTCTTGTGTTGTATATAGTATAGTTATTTTTGCTAATAAATTAGCAATATGCTTCCGAATGGTTACTTTGCACATCATTTCCTTCTTTCATGTGTAATTCATTGTCTATTTCATTTTTCTAAATTGAATAAGATTTCTTTTTAACTAATTTTGTCAGATTGTCAACTGAGTTGAATGTTATCGTCATCGTTATTCTTATTATCCCTTTCTTCTATACAACCAATTGTCTTTTTTACAGTTGTATCTCTTCCCTCAGCCCTTCGATAAAATGTTAATAAAAAAATGTTATTTATACATAATTGAATGAATTTGAAACACCACATTTGAAGAATGCATCAAAAAGCTCACTTTCCGGGAAATTCATGAAAAATTCGAAATTTTCAACAATCATCATAAAAATCAAATCAACCAATATAGCTATCGTAATCATCTTTTAACTTCGACTTAATGGCATTAAAACAAACATTTTAAGCTAGGATTGCATTCATTTCAAGCATGATATCCAAAAATATTGCGGGAATTCTGATTTTCAAAAAATACAGAATGTTTGCAAATTTTCAAATAAATTAACGTTTATTGCTATCGCCTTCATCTTCGAACTCGGTCAAAAGGACATCCAAACAAATTTTTTAAGCCATCATTCAATCAATTCAGAACTTATTTTTTAGTTATCGCGAAAAAAACTATTTTTTTTTTAAATTTAAAATTTTTTAAAAATTAATAAATGAATTAAATTTTAATTAATGGCAATAGATAGGGCTCAACAATACCTACATTCGAGGAAAAAAAAATTCAATCCTATCGATTAATTAGTGAACAATCGAAGAAAAATTTGTTTACATACGTACGCACGTACATACGTACGAACACGGTCTAAAAATTGAATTTTCGGACTTTTCGTATCATAATGGGTTGATATGACACAAAAAATCCAAAACTTAAATTTGAACGATCACAATGCTTCCATTCGGAAACTAAAACTGTTGAAAATTTGAGGAATAAAGAAAAAAGTTTGAGAGAAAGATGGAAATACCTGAAAATATGGACTGCATGCTGACAAAATAATCTTATGAGCCTTGATAAATCGTCCTTCACAGGATAACGTTACGTCAACAAGAGATTCTGACGATAGATGCTCCCCAAACACCTGAACAATTCACAAAAAAATGTTGACTGAAGAAATTAAATTTCTGATTATCATATTATTGGAAGAAAAAAAGTTAACCTGAAGAATGTTGGTAATGTGATTATTCCAACGAAGATTGAACTGTCCCATGTCGATAGATTTTAGTTGGAAAAATTTCTAGACCTGTTTAATTAAGAATAATGGTATTAAGCAGGTGAGTTAAGAATCAAAACACAAATACATTGTCTGGTGAACATTGACATGTCAAACAATGGAGTAAATTGTGCCGGATTTATTGGTATAGTTATTAATCTCAGGTAAGGGGAGATACTAATGATTAATTTCATGACAACTTACCTTTGTAATTTACAAAATTCTTCGATTTAAGTGCGGTGTGCTGTCAGTCAATAAATTCGTTGTTCAATAATGAAATAAGCGATTCGCAATTCTTTTTTTCATTTGCTAACAATTGATACTCGATGCGCCACCTGCGGCGCCCGCGAACCTTTGAAGTGCATGGCGACTATTTTCGAATTCATTATTTGTTTAAGGCTCGGGTGGATTATCTTTCGAATGTGCTCTTGATTGTTTTTTTTATTTTGATAATCTGAAATGATCTCCAATTGCTATTCAGTTTTACATAGCCCTGGAGTCTTCAAAAATTATGATTGTACATTGTACAATCATAAAACCGTTGAAAAAACGCTGATTTTCAAAGAGCGTTTTTGAATAATTTTGGAAAATAAACCCAATAGAGAGGAAATTGCAAATTAATAATTTGATCTATCTAATGGCTTAGTTAGGTCATCATTTGTCATAGTAGTCAATGACTCTCAGATCGTTAGTTCCTATGATAAATTATCCATTCACTATTTCCTCTCTATCGGACTTATTTTTTAATCCTTATTAAAAACGCTTTTTGAAAATGTTCAGTTTTTTTCTACTTTTTTTGATTGTGCAATCATAATTTTTAGGGATTCCTGCGTGATGTAAAATCCAATGAAAGTTCTAATATTTTTTATATTATGGAGCTAGAAAACCAATCGAGATAACGTTCGAGAGATAATCCACCCGGGCCTTAATTTCTTATTTCAGTGATGTTGTCCACTATTACTAAATCTACACCAAACCCCTCCGAAAATGCACGTTTACCGTACCCCACGATCTGTCAAACCGCTATACCATCTGGATCGTATTTCCCGGTTATTTGAGCCAATGAATCAATACTTTTTGTAACTAAAGGTTCAAATTAGGACTAAAACGGGGAAAGACGGGGTCAAACAAGGAAGGATTAAACGATGGAACGATCTTTTAGTTTTTTTCTTCGCACATAAATATTTATTATGAACTTTTTTTCATATAAATTTCATCTGTTAATCCTCGATTATAGAACTAACAAAATATGCCATTCATTATGAATAATTGGTGCTAATTATTTTTTTATGAATTCCCTCAGTCAATAAATTAGAATTACGATAATAAGCACATACGACGTTCGTTTGGGAGTGAGTAAATATGGAATTCTCAGAAAAACCAGTATAGCAGTGGGTACGGCAATTATTTTTTTGTCATTCCGGCTGTGAGGCAGAGATTCACGGGCGCGGAGCGGAGCGTTTACGGCCGTCATGACAAAATAGTATATTTCGTCATTAGGTCGAAATAGTACATTACATGCCCGAGCCTTGGAAAACAGATCACCGTCCCCCACGTGTAAGATTGCCTTCCGAGCCGAAGGTGAGGATGGCAAGCACGTGGGGGAGGGTGATATGTTTTCCATGGCGAGGCGTGTATATTAATTTTCGTGTCGCGCTGCGCGCCACGAAATTGGCGTTTTGCAGGTCCCGTGACACGAAAAAAACTTTTCTGGCGAATATGAGGTTTGCAGCACGAGCCGAAGGCAAGGGCTGCAATCATATTTGTCAGAAAAATTTTTTTTTTACCGTATGACGAACAATACTTTTTGTCATGACGGCCGTAGGCAGAGATTCACGGACGCGGAGCGGAGGGGAGGAAACCCCACGCGATTTCACGTGATTTCGGAATGATGTCTTGCCAGAGTGGCGCCGTGATTTCGGAGGCGAGTCGCCCCTCTCGGTCATTGTGCGTTTATTTAGATGAAACTTTCTTTTTTTTTCAATTCGTTTCGGATTAGCCTAATTCTCATTTTCAAATAGAAATATCACGGTCATTTTTCATGTATATACCGTGGATATGTTGATATTCCGACGATATTTAAGGGGAGACTACTATAAGTTTTAAAAGAAACGGGCGATTTGCGCCATTCATGTAAAATAAGCAAAAAAATATCCATATAATGTCCTTATAATCCTTATAATGTTTAAAATATATTTGCATATGAATAATGCAATTTTTTATTTAAAAAAAGCGAAATTAGCGGTGTAGGAGTTGAATTTCAAAAAACGAATTCATAATTATTGTTGTCCACATTTTTTCAAAAATTTTGAAAAAAAAAACCTCTAGTTCTTTACCATTTGAAGTGTCTGCGGGGCAAACGAACAATAAACAATTTTTTTTTTTGGGCTAATTATTCATTTTTAGACATATATAATCGATCTTCAATGTATGAAAAATCTCACTCCAATAGCCTTCAATTTTTTAAACTCTTAGCAATCTGCCCGTAAACAAAAAAAAACACAAACTGTAAAGGTAAGCACATACGCATGATCTTAGACCTAGGAAATTCTCAAAAATTTCACTGGAAGATTGAATGTCTACTTGAAATTGTCTGGTGATTCTTCCTTCAAGTTTTCTGTGAGCATTTTTCGTATACTTGCAGACTCGACGATGCGAGATAGAACGTCAGCTGCATGTTTTTTCAGCTGTAATAATGCTTTTATCCATTACCCAAAAGTACACTAAGAGTTCAAAAATCGACATATCATAAAAATCATCTCTTGAGCGAAAAACATCGCATCCATATTTCATCAATTTATGGTAATTTTCAGACAAGAAATCGGTGTTCTTCAGGCTAAGGAGGAAGTTACTGAATGAAAAGGTGATGTCTTTTTTCGAAAAAAGATATTCCTTATAAGACAAGAATAGTTTGACATAAGCAAAGCTCAAAGCGATTGAGCGTAGGCGACGGTTATATTTTTTCTTGCCGTGGATACGTCTTTTCATTATAGTCCTTATGGTCCCTTATCGATAGTGGTGCCATCTATCGGAATTCTAGAACATTCCGGAATTCTCTAGAAAATTCTAGATTTTTCTAGTAAATTCCAGATTTTTATAGAAAATTCTCCAGTTTTTTTTAGAAATAAATTACAATTTTAAGGGTTCTCTAACGCAGGTCGGCAAAATCTGGACAGTTGGTTATTATTGCACGAAACAGATAAAATTTGTGGATCCGTGTTAAAATTCACAAGAGTGTTTGTATGTGATGATGTTGTGAATGAAATATGTTCAAAGTTTGCTTAGGGATTTTGGTTGTACATAACAATTCAATCGTATCGTGATTATAAAAAAATGTCTTATCATGACAAGACGGTGCGAAATCCCGAATTCTTCTAATACACGTAGATAAGTATATACAATGAAAAACTACGATGTTCCGTGAAGGAAAGGGAAGACCACATACGTATCCACGTCAAATTACGGCTGTATCAAAGATATAGCTACTCGCAGATTTTTTGAAATATCTGGAGGTCTCTGCATAAACTCTCTACTCTTTCAATATGAAAGTCTTTGATTCATGATTCACGGAATCGAAGCTTTTAATATTTTTAGTCATTTTCTTGTCTTCTGACACGAAAAAACCTATTTCTTGTGGCAAGAAATTCTGACTTTATCATGAAATGTTCATATTCAAGTCATGAACACTTCACCGAAATCTGACATTGTCTGACACATTATCCGGGATTTTCATCCCAAGAAATTTATCCTCAAGAGACGAGATATTTGGTGCAAGAAATGAATTTTGTGATATTATGACAATGTTTCTTTCAGTGATAATGTGGGTACTATCACCAATTATTGGTATAGTTTTACACCTCCAGAATTTTTATTTATTTTAAACTTATATGGTTTATCATCATTATGGATTAATCCAGACAATTTTGCTGGAATTTCATTCCACTCTCAATCATGACTGCGAGTTTGTGGAAGTACTGATAATAGAGTTTGCCCCACGATTACTTGACTTGTTTGGTAATTTTTCTCCGTGCAGTGTAGAAATTTTTATTTAGAATATAGAAAAGTTTGTATTTGGCTTTCTGATGAGCCGGAGGAAAGTCAATGCTTTCCGCTCAAGAGTGGAAAGTTGTTCCCGAAGAAGGATAGTTATGACTTTCCATCCTTGGGGGCGAAATGCTCACTTTCCTCCCGCTCATCAGGGAGTAAAGTACAAACTTTCTGTGCAGGTGTGTGAAAATAGTATATTGTGCATCAAGGGCGGAAAATCAAGACTTCGATGCAGAATATACTATTTAACTTCAATTCATTTATATTATTTTACGACTTCACTAATTGAGTGATGGTTCGTACCTCATTTGAAGTTTGTTGATCACAAGAACAAATTGTTTGTTTGTTTGTTGGGGCTTAACGTCGCATCGACAACTAGGTCATTAGCGACGGGTTCGCGACTCTTTTATTGTCGTTCGAACTCACGACTATTTCCTCTGTAGCCTATATAGGTTACGATGTTATCGACAGTATTTCGAAGGTGAGAATCAACTGTAGTCAGTAGCTCTGTGAAGTTGGCACCCCACCTTGATGAATTGAAACAAAAATTTGATATTTAGTAGATTTTGATCGCCACATGATAGTAGTAGCATTTTGTTTGTTTGTAGTTGAAAAATAAGCGCCCCATACATTTTCAAAAGACAGTTAGGAACTATTTCATAGTTACAGCTAAAAGGACATCGGATTATCTTATCTGCAATCGTTTGTAGTTGATTGTAGTTTTGAAATTTTTCCTATCCGACTTCAAATAAACGCCTCATTCATTTTCGAAAGACAGTTAGGCACTATTTTGCAGTTGCAGCTCAATTGGCATCGGATTTTCATCTGCAATCGTTTGTAGTTGATTGTAGTTTTGAAATTTTTCGAATCCGACTTCAAATAGACGCCTCATTCATTTTTGAAAGACAGGAACTATTTTGCAGTTGCAGCTCAAATGGCATCGGATTTTGATCTGCAATTGTTTATAGTTGTTTGTAGTGCTTGCAGATTGTCAGTCCAATGAAAAAAATTGACGGTAAGGTTTTTATGAAATGGTTCCGAAAAATTATTTTTCATAAAGAACCTAAAAAAGATCAGATATGTAGGAGGATTTGGTTGTAGTTGTTTTGAATGGTGGAACAAATTAGGAAGAATGAAAGATTCTTATCTGTAATCGTTTGTAGTTGATCTTAATCCTGAAATTTTTTCAATCCGAATTCAAATAATCATGTCATTCATTTTCGAGAGATACTTAGGAACTATCCTGCAG